TAAAATTTCTAAATATGACAATCTGTATTTTCATGTGAATGATTGTGGAACTTTTTCAGATGTTAGTAGATTTAACAAGAATTCTTCTATTTCCGAACGTACATGAATAGTTTTCTTTAATATAATATTTTAATATTTATGTCAATATTTGTTATTGTTAATATGTTATGACAATAATATAGAAATAAAAAACTGTGAAATGGTACCTTTATATTAAAGAAAATCGTGTACATTCGGAAATAGAAGAATTCTTGTTAAATCTACTAACATCTGAAAAAGTTCCACAATCATTCACATGAAAATACAGATTGTCATATTTAGAAATTTTAAATAAACAGCAAAAAATGGTATATTAAGTTAGTATACTGCTATTGGAAGTAAGAAGATGATTTTTAAATTAATAATCTTAAAATTTGCACTATTTTTGCCTTTTGTATTATCTTCAACTCCTAGTTATTCTGTATATGAAACAAGTTCGCTAAGTGGGCAAAGTCAATATGACTGTTTATATTGGGCAAATGGAAACTATATTATTCTAAATTATTGTATTCGGCCAAATGGTTCTGAAACTATAAATTTTTTACCTTATCAATCAGCTATAAACGGTAAACGATATGCATTTTATGAATTATACCAATTAAATATAAGTAGTTATGATTTGTATCAATGGTCAGCTCCTATTAATCTAATTGAAAAATACCAAATGTATCACGATAATATAACGAATTCTTCTCTCGATTACGAATTGTATTATAATTGTTCCAAACCATGGTTTGGAACATTTTGTCAATACACACTGAATTCTATTGAATCATTTGACCAAATTATTGCTGAAAGATTCCAATCGAGAATAAAATATGAGCCGACAGATGTTATTAAAATTACAAATGGCACATGCTATACTGGTTTAAAATGTTATAGAGGTCCATCTCCAATATGCTTAGATTGGAGAGAAATATGTGATGGAAAAGTTGATTGTTTTGATGCTGAAGATGAAAAATATTGCTCTCAATTAGAAACAAATACATGTGAAAAAGATCAATATCTCTGTCAAAATGGAATGTGTATACCGGATAGTTTAATAAATCAAATAGGAATTATTCCAGATTGTATAGACGGTTCAGACGAACAATATATGAGGTCTTTTACCGATATTTGTTATAAAGAACCTTCTCCAAAATGCGAAGAATATTCCTGTACATGGAATAAACGATATTCATGTGGAGATGGACAATGTTCTGATATTCACCCACCGACGTATTTGCCATTATGCTTTAATGGACGAGATCTATTGCATTCTAGATCTCAATTGATTCATACTGAATTATCAAAATTATGTTGGGAAGCAATCATATGCTCATTAGGATTTGGTCGAATATTTGAACTACTTTGTGTCTGCAGGATGTACGATTTTTGTACTGAAATCATTCACTATGAATGTCGTTCGATATTCTTTTTTCCATTTATATCTATTCTAGACAGACATGTTCGTTTTGTATATACAAAAAATAAAACAGATTGGTCAACAAATGTATCCCCAGATTACATATGTTATGATGAACTGCGATGCAATTTCATCAAGTCCACAATAACTGAAGATACACTGAAATGTCGACATTTTGAAAAATTTGATATAGACGCTAAATATAATAATTGGATTAAATTATTTATCGATGTTCAACATATTTTTAAGGGGTGCTCGCATATGTATCATAATTGTTTACATTCAACATTATTTCATTGTCCTAATTCATCAAAATGTATATCAAAAACTCGTTTAACAGATGGTTATGAAGATTGTTATAATCAGGTTGATGAACATACCAACAGTTGTTTACTTGATTTAAAACATCGTACCAAGTGTAGATCCGAAGATAAGTGTATTCCAAATATGGCATTATTGGATGGTACTAGGAATTGTTTAGGTGGTGAGGACGAAGTGCCAAATTTTGTATGCTCATCAATTGAATTGTGCAATGAAAATGATAAAACTTTATTTAAAGCTATATGTAATGGTTCGGTGGAATTTTCATCTATACTGGAAGTAACAGATGAAACAAATTGTGAAGAATGGCCATGTCGTACACAGTACACAATTTGTGATAAAACGTGGAATTGTAGAAATGGTAAAGATGAATTTAATTGTCCATATTTTCCCATCAACTGTAAAAACTTTGAACATTATTGTGTCAAACCCGAAACTGGTGAATTAGGTTGCATAGCAGTTGATTATATTAATAATAATCAAACTGACTGTTTAGGATCAAGCGATGAAAGAGAATTTTGTCGTCAAATGTATCCGAATATATCATCTAAAAGGTATCGGTGTTGAAATGATACTCAATGTATAACTCCATTACAATTATGTGATTGTGTCAAGGATTGCTTGTACGGTGATGATGAATTAGTATGTTCATGGATGAAAAACTACAAGTGCGATCTTCAGAATTTTTATTGTAAAGATGGACAACAGATACCAAGATCTTTTCGATGCAACGATAACCACGAATGTAAATCTAATGAAGATGAAATTCTTTGTGACTTAATAGATCGATACAGACCATCGAACAATTATTTTGAGATTAAAAATTTTGTCGAATATCCATTACTGTTAAACACTAATATTGATGTTTTGAAAATAAGACCATTAAATGAGAAGAAAATTATGATGTCTTCAACGAAAAAGGACGATGACATTTATCTTGTTTGGTATTGTAATCGTGGAATTTTGGTACAATCAGTCAGTGGAAATTATTGCTTTTGTCCGCCATCTTATTATGGTAATCGGTGTCAGTATCAAAATGAACGTACAACAGTGACACTTCAAGTTCAAAAAACTAAGTGCATTTGAATCATTTGATGTTTTCAAATTAGTAATCTTATTATTTGATGATAAAAACAGTATTATTTCTTACGAACAAATATTATACATACCATCGGTGTTTGTTGCTTGTAGACCAAAATACCTTATCTATTTACTCTATCAAACTCGTCCTAAATTATATTCAAACTATTCTGTTCGTATTGATGTTTTTAGTGTAAATGTGTTGAATAATATTATTGTATATAAAGCAAGTTGGTTGTTTAATATTCCATTTCCATTTTTACCCGTTAATAGACTTGCAGTAGATTTAGTAATATCTATAAAAAAATCGGAAAAAGTGGCTTGTCAAGATGCAAACCTAAAATGTGAAAATGGACAATGTTTCCAGTACTCAAATTCTAAGACATATTATTGTAGATGTAACAAGGGCTGGTCTGGCAGATTATGTGATATTCAATATCAGTGTTCTTGTTCACCAGGCTCAGTATGTATTGGAACAACTATTGACTCAAGGCCAATATGTATATGTCCGTTAGGGAAAATCGGTCCATTATGTTATATTTTTCAAGGATTATGTAAACGTGATAGCTGTAAAAATGGTGGCATTTGTGTCGTTTTGGATCAGAGAGTGTCAAGAGGTTTCTCTTTTGGATGTATCTGTTCATCAGCAGAATACTACGGTGAATTTTGTCATCGTATAAGAAACAAAGTTCATATTTCATTCGTTGGTGTATCAGTACCAATGTCACTATTAGTTCATTTTATATTAACATATAATTACCAATTGCCGGACCGCACTACATTGGTCAAACAAATACCTATGTATCAAAATAGTCTTATTATACATCGGTCATCAGATCAATTATTTCAAATTATTTATTTGGAATTTCAAAATAATTATTATTTAATTTATTTACGTAAATCTAAGATAAGTTCAAAATACACTAATGCAATAGTTACACCGTCAAATAGATGTCCACATATACAAGAATTACTTAATAATACAATAGTCTCATACCATTTATTAAAAGGAATAAAACAGTATCATCGTCCATGTCAACAACAACATGAATTGAAATGTTTTTATGATGAAACACAGATGTGCTTATGTACAGATGATCATAATTCAGATTGCTTTGATTTTGATCACAATATGACGTATAATTGTAACGGTTATAATTATTGCGAAAACGATGGAATATGCTTTCAAGACCAGCCATACTGTCCTACAGATTCTGTATGTATATGTAAACCGTGTTATTATGGGAATTTATGTCATCTGTCATCGTCATATTTTGTACTTTCACTTGACGCAATTATAGGTTATCACATTCAGCGTTATACAACGATTAATCATCAACCGTTCATAGTTAAATTAAGTATTGTAATAACAACAATTATGCTTACATTTGGTATTACAAGTAATTTATTATCGATATTAACATTCAAGCAGAAGAAAGCACGTGATGTTGGTTGCGGTATCTACCTACTATCATCTTCAATAATTTCTCTACTAACAATATGTATGTTTGTCTTAAAATTTTGGGGTTTATTATTAACGCAAATGATGCTTTTCACAAATCAAACATATCTTCATGTTGATTGTATTCTCACTGAATTTTTATTAAAGTTTTTACTACCAACTGCTGATTGGTTAAATGCATCTGTTGCTATAGAACGTGTAGCAACAGTTACACTAGGTGCAAACTTCAATAAGTCTAAAAGTAAACGATCAGCTAAATTCATTATAATTTTTATTATCGTTATAAATATCGCTAGTTCAATACATGATCCAATCAATCGACGATTAATTGAAGATCCTCAAGACCAACGTTTATGGTGTTTTGTCAGTTATCAACATTCAACTTTACTAACATCTTATAATACCGTAATTAACATGATACATTTTATTCTACCATTCATTATTCATTTCGCATCATCGTTGATCATTATCATTACAACAGCGCATAAGCGATCTATTGTTCGCACAAGTCAAACCTATTATGAACATTTAAAAGAACAATTTAAAACCTATAAACATTTAATTATAAGTCCATGCATTCTAATTATATTAACAATTCCACGGCTGATTATTTCGTTTATTTCTGGTTGTATTAACACAGCTCGCGAACCTTGGCTGTACTTATCTGGCTATTTTATTTCATTTATGCCATCGGTAGCAACGTTTCTCATTTTTGTAGTACCATCACATACATATAAAACAGAATTTTATTCAGTAGTAAAATACCATTATGCACGTACTACACAATATTTGCATACTGGTGTAACTTTAACTTAATACAGTATCGTTGCTGTTATAATTTGTCTGAAGCACAGACTCTACAATTTTATAAGAATCTTTGCATCAAGTATATTGAACATTCGTACAATTTTCAAATATGACTGAAGAAATAAACGGAAGAAGGAAATACATTTTTTTGATATGAGAGAGAGAAACAGACATTCTTTGTAAGAGAAAAAAACACCTTTCAATTATAATATTTCTGTTTATGGAACTGAGAAGATGTTTGGAACTATTCGGCTGGAATATAAGTTCTGCAAGTTGGAGATCTTTGGAAAACTAGGGCGTCTGTAAAGATTTTCCAATAGGATTGTATTGCTTTTTTCTCATGGGCTGATAGCTCGGGGTGTCCTCTCCAAAATCAAGGTGAAGTGAGACCTTGATTTTCCACGGTTCGGGCGTTGTATCAGTTTTCCTACGAGTTCCAGGACTGGCTCCCGGTGACTATTGGTAGCTCAAAATCTTAGGATACGATTAATATTCTGTTAAACCTGATTAAAAGATCGGAAAAATCGAAAAGCTTTTTGTTAATAGGTTTTCCAAAAACCCTTTTGGAAAACCTGAGGGTTCTCTAAAATTTGTTTCGAGACCTCGTGTGAATGGGATATAGAATATCTTAAATACTCTATATTCTGAAGTTCTGAACTTGTTCTGATGTTTTGTGAGTGAATAGTGAATTTTTTAATATTAGGAGAAAACTGTGACAGTTTTCTCTGTAAATCTTTGTGATCACAAAAACATTTGATTGTGAATGTACCCAAAAAATGACCGAAGATCTTTTTTTTCGTGGATTCCAGATAACTCATCTGCAGAGCAGTTCTTTTTTTTGTACCCTGCATTCTACCATATAGAAACGTCTCGTGCCGTGGGCTATCCTACCGTATTCGCTTTCATACCTTACGCCACCCTACTGTATTGACTTCAGACAGTCTGCACCCTAAACCGTGCCCTACATCTACACATAGAAAAGTAGGAGTAAAGTAGGAAGCTTTCGTTCAGCGATCGTTGTTCACTTTTCATCCACAACCGATGCGCTTTCTTCCTTCAGAGAACGTAAAATAGTCTTCTTTTTTTCTTGACTTTTTTTTCTAGCAGACATATTCAGTACTAATTTACTGATTGAGAAGTGTATGCAGGCATCAACTTTAAGAGTACAAAATATTGTGTGAAAATATCTGAAACCCTACTGATCAGCTCCACATCCAATAAAAATCCTTCCTGATGAATAACGAAGTCATGCGCCACGAAAAGAGCGAATGTCTCTCAGTGTTAAGCGTTCTTCATCGTATAGGGTACAGTCTATGACAAACGTCTAAACCCGTCCCTACCCTATAAAAATGCTTCGTACCCTAATGGACACTCCCCAAGAAAGTCCCCAAGGACTTCCCGGAGACTCCGTAACTGACTTCCCCGAGGATTTTTTAGAGGAGTCCCCTAAAACTCCCTGGGGACTGCCTGTAGGTCTGCTGGTCCATCATTTTTAATTTCATATAAATAATTAGTAATTAAGTGCTACGTAACATCATTGATACCCGTGTAGCACATATCAATCATTCGAGATTGACACATTGATGTTGACTTACTAGAAGAAAATTCGTCCATTCATGCTTTATCTACTTTGCATACATTCTTTGTGCTTAAAAACTAAGTTTTTTTTCCACACTTTTTGCCATCATACATCTCTATCAAATCTTTTTTTCTTATGGTAGAGAAGGAGAGTGTGAACGAGAAAGAGTATTGATATTGAAAAATTTGTTTAATGCTTTGAAAAGAACTAGAACCGTCTTCTGATTTATTAGTTGATGACTATGACGAGGGGCTGACGAGTGATATTTTGTTTGGTTACTTTAAACATCCAATGCAATTAGTAAACTGACTGACGAATTAATGAAACGTATTGCTACAAGAAAATCAAAAACTGTAAGTAAAAATTCTGAATTATAATGAATTAGGAGTAACAACATTATACTGCAACATTATAGTGCAACAAGATTATTCTTTTCTTCTATTCAATGCATGTATCGCATTGTCTTTGACAAGGTTCTGGGGCTGAAGTTTCGTGTTCGAATTTTACAGTATCTTACAAGAGGTGGCAACAGTCGGGTTGAGAGAAACTTTCCTTCCATAAAATTTTACCCCACAATTTTCGTTCCATTCCATCCCATGGGATTTTTGACCAATCTCAGACCGTCTTATAGGACTTACTGACATATTTTCGCCTAAGAAAATTTAATAACAAATTTTTTGTCGAAGTTTGCTGTGAAATCTGAGTGGCTTGTTTAGTTTTCGCACTACATATAAGTTCACCTAAAGGTTTTTCTTGTAAACAGCTGAGTTCTTTCTTCTGAAGAAAGTTGATATTGCGTTAAGATTTAGTTAACTATGTCATAACGATTCTTGTGTATTATTTTAAGATTAGAACGTAGGTCTTTTCGTGGCCAAAAATTCGATTTCAAGAAAAGACTACTAGATTTTAGAGAATAACATTTTCTACAAAATAAGACCAATCCCAGCTCTGTACGACCGTCCCTTAAAAAATTATGAATTTCTTAAAATAAACAATATTTTTAAAAAAACTTAAAGTTTTTACTATTAAAAGGTTTTTTGTCCATTACATAGAACGGAAAGTTTGTTTTGAGCAGGCAGTCTTCTGGGTCAACACAACTGAATATTTAAAAAAGACCTATACGCTACTCTTAATTAACTTTCAGCAGAAGAAAATATAAGGATGAAATTTTTTGCATATTACTGGCTGATTTGCACGTTAACGCGATCGTACTTAAAAAATAATTGTCTTAATAATAGGAAAAAAAGTAATAAATAGAAATTCCTTTGAAAAAAATTGAACTACAAAAGTCAGAAAAAGGTTTGATCTGACGTCCGGCCAGGAAAGGAGTCGAATGCCATCGGAGAGGGGTGTATTAAAAAAGTTAAACTTTACCGCCCTTCTTTACGGATGACATCGAACGGAATATGAGGTGAGGGTGAGGGTGAGGGTGAATCGGTCGATCTACTCTCAACAGATTGTCGAGTCTAAGCATGACAATTTAGTAAAAAGAAATTTTCTCTAGTTCTATCAGTTAGTGTAGGATGAAACAATCTTTTATAGAAAAATTCGACTTTCACATAATTTGTGCACTGACATTTTCACTTTTGTTTCTCTCATAATTCTTGCAAAAGAAATCCGTTTGCTCAGAAAATTTTACCCATTTTCAATATCCAGAAATTACATTTGACATAAAACAATAAACTCAAAATGTCTCATTAGCGCAAAACCGACTTTTTATACGGGGAACAGAATCGGTCCAAATTTTTTTTCTGAAGAGCTTATTATGTGAATCGACGGGCAGCAAAGTATCTCTTGATTCAAATCACTTTTCGCATTTT